CACACCCATCTCAAGGTGAGACTATTGTTTGACTCTGCAACACATAAAGTAAATGCATTTACACATGACAAACAATGGCCTGGGTAGTTTAGCTTTTATTCATTCCCCCCATCTCAGAACTGCCTTTTTCCATTGCAAGAAAGTTTTGTGGATGCTTTTTAGATCAGGTAGGGCTGGGTGGGGAGTTGGGTTCTTGTGTTGATGTTCTATGCTGTGTTTTGTCAATCACCCAGAGGGGTGGCTGGCCCCTAGATGGGCAATATAAAAATTTAAGAAATACATGACAAAAAAGAATAAACAGTGTTGCTAGGTTCCATTCTGTGAAATGGGATTCCAGTCAGACAATGTTATATGTTTGGCTTTGGTTCATCCACTGCAAGATTTCTTTACACTGAAAGAGAGCTACAATACCAATGGGAATAAGAGAACTGTTTAAAAATATTTCGGTATAATCAACTATATTAAAATGAGGGAAGGAATCCCTTTATCAATAAGTGAAACTACATCAAAAAGATAAACCGCAGAATTGGTTAGACAACATACAATAAAAGATATAACAAAAATGCAGCTTGCTGAAAGCATGTATAAAGAGCCTCAAAAAGAATATAGCTACATCATAAAATAAGTTGTCTTAGCTCCTTTTTCTCATAGCTGAGAGAAAGAGCTGGTAGCCAATTTTCTCTTGGCCTCCACGACAGAAGCCTTGTGGCACGAATACTGTGTCTATGTGCTACTCTGTTAACTCTTTTCTCTATATGTTTCATACATTCAAAGGAATAAACTATTACTGTACTCCTCTTTAATATATGTGCAATTTTGTGAGGAAAATGGCTTATAAGCTGCTTTTGGAATCAATCTTGGTGGGAAACCATAATTAAAAAAATAAGAAGCACTGCTGTGCAATATTTGCATACATAGGCAAGCGTCTCAATTAAAAATAAGCACTGAGCTATTAACAAAATTCTGGATAGCTTTGTTTGAAATTATCCAAGAATTTCTTGTGTGAGCATCTTTGCCATATTACAAAGATGTGTGGTAGTAAGATGGCAAGCCTTCTAACTAACAGCAGCACTGAAATTGTGAGGATTTCCTGTTCAGGGGGACACACTTCACATCCTCCCTAACTTTAAATAGTATGCAAATCTATTATTTAAACAAAACTAACATTAATTTAGGTTCTGATGAAGAAGGTATTTTAATCTTTGCTATTACTCAATCTTGATTATTACATCCTGTGTGTGTAATTTCTGCCAACTCCTTTCTTTAACTGCAACATGTTCCACAATATATCACGTTTCCACATATTTTTCCAACATTCAGGAGTGAGGAGGATGGGGCTGCAGAAGGAAGAACGAAGCCTCATTTTTCTCTTACTTTCCAAAGAGGTAGCCAAGTTAGTCTGCAACAACAAAACCAACCAAGAGACCATTGGTACCTTAAGGACCAGCAAGAATTTCTTTTTATTACATTCTCTTCCGAACAGAACCCTGTTCCATTCATGAAAGTTAAACTAGGATCCAAGGCACTGATTCCGGAGCTCATGTTTGCTTCATTTTGTATTTTGTTGTGGCTCGCTTTGTGACCTTTGCTAGAAAGTAGTCTAGATTTTGTTTAAAAACCATGTCATCTGTTCTCAAGCTAACCTAGTTCACAACTTTAATGTAAGACTATCAATGAAATGACTCCATGAGCACTTCAAACTTCTGGTAGAACAAGTGGATACAAATATGGTAAAAAGTCTGTTGCTTCCAACAGTTAATTCCCTTACAGCAACTGAAACATAAGGAAGCCAAGATACCATGCTGGTAGTCCTCAGTTCATTGTTCAGTGGCAAACAGGCTTTAAATACATGCTCTGGAATGCAAACAGGTCATTTGTTTCTTTTTAATTAATGGTTCTAAACAATTACCTCAAATATGTAATTATATCTTTAAATGGGAATACCAATCATCAGGTTGAAGAGCATTTAACTATATATTTCCTCCCAATATTAGTCAAGGGGAAAATAGAACTAAATATTTTACTAGCATGTTTATTATAAATATGGCTTGCTTTGTATTTTGAGACCATTACATCTCAACACCAAACATTTATACCCCATTCTTGTGTATCATCTGTGAAGCAAGTCCCACTCAATCAACGAGTCTTACTTCCAAGTGACTGCATAACTCTAAATGAGTAGATTCTGTTCAAACCTGACAATCTTTTTGTGTACTGATTACTATTTAAACAGGTGAAACATTTCCATCCCCATGAGTAGGAAGGCTGTTTCCAGCTCTTAAATGATAGAGATACCCTTACAAGGCTATGACTATGTAGCAGCTACACAAGAAGACTGGCAGCTGCCAACATCTTTGCATAGGATTTGACCTACTACTTTATTAGCAGAAATGCATCTGAGAAACTAAGGTCCCAAATGGACATCCCAATTTAACTGTATAGTTATACTGTGTAGCAGTTCTCTGCAATGTCAGAAAACAAGGTTGCCATGCCTGGCAACATACAGTATTAATATGGTTAGGATAACCAGATACGAGGACTTACTGCAGGTTTGCCTGGTGCCCATTTCTATTTTTAAACTATGGCCAATTGCTTTAAAACAAACAAAAACAAAAAACCCCACAACACCTAGCCCTGGTTTAAAGGAAAGCAAGAAGAGCTTGTATAATGTAAAGGTTGTAGGTACTGCTAAACGGGGACTTGGGAGATCAGGTTCAAGTCCCACGGAGCCATGGAACTCCTTAGACAATTGTGGGACAAGTTAATCTCTCTCTCTCTCTCTCTCTCTTTGTCAGTGTCGTGTCCCCCACATAGTTCTTGGAAAGAGGACAACCATGTGTATTATCTTAAAGTCACTGAAGTACAGAGTGTAAATATAACTAGTAAATAAAAGGCTTGAGCCCACTGGAGAAATAGTGCAGATTTCACTACACAAACAAGTACAATCAGTTAGGAAGTAATAATGACCTTACAGTATTTTTTTTTCAGCTGCTTTTAATATATTTTTTGTAACCCTTAGGAGTGGTTGTTGATCAGCTATTCCAGTTGCTATAATTTTGCTCCTTTACCCCATATTGACATCAAGGTATTTCATTTATCTTTGCATCAATGAAAGGCCACAACTTCCAAAATAGAAACAACATTGAGAAATTTTCCTGGCACCCAATGTGGAAGTAAACATTTGACTTCAGGGACAGCCCTGACTGTCATCCCGGTTATCTGGTGACCTGAACATGACCACATCATAACACTGGGAAAGTTTAGGATCAGAGTATCTTCATCTTCAGAGCAAGCTTTTGTCACAACTCAATAGTAGTATGAGCTCTATTCAAACCAGAATCACAACAGTAAAAAAAACTAATAGCTATCCACCACAACTGCACAAAATCATTTTTGAATATCTGAATTTGGATCAAGAATATCCATGTGAAGGAAGCAATCATGTGAAACTTCAGCAGAAGCCCACTTGACAAGTCAATTTACCACCTGATCCACTTTTAACATCCTTACTGGTGTAGTAAATGCTGACTTGTAACCTCAGCTATGCATGTATAGAAGCAATTACAAAATCATTTCAGCAAGGTCCAATTCACTCAACACCAAGTCAGAATATGCCAGACTCACCAATCATGGTAGTGTAAATAGTTTTAAAGCTATCTGTTCAGAGGCTTTAAAACTACTACTAGTTTTACTGCAAAAAAAAGCCTCTTTAAATTATTACAGAATTTCAAGTTTCTCTCCTCAGTTTTACGATTATTAATTATTGCAATCCTTCAAAATGGATGTGAGAGCAACCTGGCTGTGACAATTGTATTTGGAATTCTATATACTGTACATAATAACAAATCTCAAAAAGGATACCATAAGACTGGAAAAGGTAGATACTCACGTGAAATTGTCAGAGAAAACAGTTCTCTATATATATAAAAAAAACTTTTAGGCTAGTACCCCCCCCCAAAGTTCATTAACAAAGCAGAGTCTGTAACTATTATGAAGAAAATGGAATATGACAGAACCAAGGCACCCCAATTAAACTTATCATCAGAATGCAATGAAGTACTGATTCACACAACACATCGTTGCAAAACAAAACAGTGGGTGGAATTCACTACCACAGCTTCTGACATCATTTGCTGGCTCTTTGTATCTTAAAGTTAACAACTGCTATCAGCCATAGCAGCAGCCAAATGGGACCTTCGAAAGCAATTTCTAAACAACAGTTACTGGGGAGCCAAACAGGAGAAACGATGCCATGGAGACTTCCCAGGGGCAACCCGTGTTGGCCACTGTGAGAGATATAAAGCTGAAATACACAAAGTTTCACTCTGATCCAGGAGGACGATGTTCTTACAATGTCCTCATTCCGTATGTATCGATTATGCTCTTTTTAAAAGGGGGGGGGGAGATACCGAAAATTTCTAGCTTAATTCCACCTGTCAATTTAGCCCAGGGCTTTCCTGGTATTGAGACCCAGGGAACAAGGAAGTCTGTGGTCTCTCACCTCGGAGAGTAGTACTTCAACACAACATAAAGAAGGATCAATCTAGCCATGTACTACTACCATAAACTGGTGTGGCACCAGACTGCCCTGAAATCACGCTGGTCTTTCAACATATCATATCACTAGATGATCAGGTGCCTTGACCTCACAGCCCCTGGATATACAGCTGAATCCCGGTGTTTAGGTCTCTGACTGTGAAACCAGAGGTTAAGAGTTCGATTCCCCACAGCGTCACTCTCCTTGACAGGGGTTGGATTCGATGATTCAAGGGAACCCTTCCGCTCTGCAGTTCTCAGATGATGATGATGATGATAACGGCGACCCTGGGGTCTCATAAGGGCTAAAGTGCTCATACACTCTGATCCGCCACCGGATGAGACCCCAGGGTCGCCCTTACAGGAGATAACCCCCGCATGCCAGGGCCGCCCCTCCTTCTGCTCAGCCCGACTGAGACCTATCGAGCTTCAGGTGGTCACAGACACCCGGACCCCGAACTCACCGGCTGCTGCCATGCCAACGCTTCCCCTTCCTCCTCAGAGTCCTACTGAGCACGACTCTACCTCATAAGCTGATGCAACCCGCACCGTGCCCGGAAGCCGCTCCGCTGCTAAAAGTCACTTCCGGCGGACCCATGGTAACCAAGCCACGCCCGGAAGCGCCCCTTCCACGAGCAAAGAGGGGTCATGTGACTGGCCCCCTGGTGGAGTGGGTGGGTTTCTGACGGTCTTCGGTGGGGTGTTGAGCTCTTTTTTTCTTTCTGGGACTTGCCTGTTCTCTCCTAATTTGCTTTCCCGATGGTTGCATTCTTTCCTGTCCCCACACGTGAGGATTCACGGACCTCTACACTAGTATTTCAGGATTGCCTTTTACAATACTGTATTGTTAAACCCGCACCCCCCAGTGCAGTAGGTTTCTTTTGATCGCTCACAGTCCCAGCCCAGAACGTCCTATTCAGATGCTAAACGTTCTTGAATGCTTTTGCCACGATGCTATTTCGTAACGTCACTAGATGTGTCGTGAATTTCGGGATACCAACTCCGGGAGGCAGTGGAAGACAGGAGGTCCTGGCGTGCTCTGGTCCATGGGGTCGTGAAGAGTCGGACACGACTAAACAACTCAAAAACAACAACGAACCACCAGGAAGACAAGTGGATCCCACATCAAATCAAGCCTGAACTTACTCTATAAGCAAAAATGACAAAATCGGTTATCCTACTTTGGGCACATGAGAAGACTCACTGAAAAAGAAAATAACGCTAGGAAAATTGGAAAACAACAGGAAAATAAGACCAAATACTGTAAGAGAAGGATTGGTTCAGTAAAGGAAGCCACAGCTTTGAATTTGCAAGAACTGAGCAGGACTGTTGATAACATGACATTTGGGAGGCTACATACTGTACAGTATTTATAGGGGTGCTGTACATCAGAAGCAAATACATAGTAATATATTTACTAATGTGTGTATATATTTATGACATGCCTTTCCTACTAGGAGCATAATGTGGTGTATATTGTCTTCCTCATTTTTATGCCCATAACCATGTGAAATATAAATAGAGTTCTGAGGTTCCTCTAAGCCAGCAAGTTTTATTTGACATAAGCTTTTGTTAATTGCAGCCCACTTTTTCTGATGCAAGGAGGCCATGAAAGTTTATGCCACAAATCTCCTTTTTTCAAAGGTGCCCCAGGACAGTTTTTACTGCAACAGAGTAACACAGCTACCTGCCCAAGGGAAAAATAACCCTATCACCTGATTTTTCTGAGTGGCTAAAAAAAAAAAATCAATGAGATTCACAGTCAAGTCTGGATTTGGACCTAGGACTATCTAGTACTCTTACAATATTTTGACTCCAGCTCTGGCTCTATTAATAAATGCTGTAATATTAAACTTTTTGTAATATTAAACTTTTTGTCATTTAAAATCCAGTGATGGTTACTTTTCGGACATGCTGTCTTATGGGAGAGCTGTGTCTTGGATAATAAATGGCACATATGTACAACCTGCACAGAAAACCCCTTATCGTAATTATGAGTGAACAAAAGGGTCCTTGCTCCAGCTGTGATCCTTGGTGTAAGAGTACTCTATGTATTTAATAACTTTTCCTCTTGAGAATCCTAGAATACATATGTACAATGCCACAGTTTTTTATTGGGCTTGCCCTAAATTAATTTATATTCCTAGTAGTTGATCATGACAGAAACTGGGAAACTAAAATACTCCTTCCATAATATGATTTTCAAAAGGAAGCTCTTTTTCAATGGGGGAAAAAAATCAGTTTGCCAAAAAATTATTGATAATCAGGAGAGGGCAAACTGCATAATCCAGAGTGTAGTTTTCCAAATGGGCAGTATAAAAATCAAGTAAATAAATAAATACTGTACAGTAAATGCCTAAGGCAAAAGGCTTTGACCAGCCTATGTGTTTTCTTAAGGAACTCAGTGAACCCCAGGCCCCACAAACTTTTTGGGTGGCCTTGCAAAGATGACTTGGGAAGAGGGTCAACAAAAGCACTCCACACCCAAAGAGCTATTTATCCTCATGCTAGTCCTACTGACCAGTTTGAAATATTTGAAGCTTCCCTTTCTGAAGCAGCTCAACATACGTATTACAGCATACAAGTGAAGAATTCCACACCCCTCTCCACAAACTGTTCTCATTTATTATCTTTATTTTGTGTACAAGCTGTGACAATATAGTTCGTTATTCTTGTGTTGTAGTTGTTCTCGATGTTACTCTCCCAGTGTTATTCAACTTTCAGCTCCCAGAAGCCCCAACCAGCTTGCCTAATGGGCAGGGACTCGGAGTAGTCCAGCAGAAGCTGGGGACTTAAAACTTGGAACTCCTTGGCTAATGAGTCTAAGATGCTCTTTTTCCTAAAAGGCATTGGTATTCACACCTTCCCAGCAGATCTTACAGGAGCATCTTCACACTCTTAACACATATCCTAGAGGCATAAGTGAAGTTAAGAATATCTGAGGACATGAAAGGAGAGCATTAACCCAGTTCAGGTGAGTTCAGTCATGGTAGAGGTGGCTATTAAACTGAATAATAAACAGAAGTAGTAGCCATTGCTTTCATTGTGATCCTAAGCACCAACAAGTGGAAGCATATTATTGGTTGGGGCTTCTTAGCATTAATTTGACATTCCAGAAACTTCTCCAATACTATATTCTCATGTATCTCCTCCGTTTTGTTGAACTGGATATATCCAGAGGTCGATGTTACCCCCTCCATTCTGCACAAAATGTAGAAACCAGAATAATCAGCACTGATAGATGAAAATTGGTGGAAAAGCCTTTCATTTAAACTTTGCCTGACCCATAAAATCACTAAATAGCTTTAAGGCAAACTACTTTTGAATATCCAAACCCAACAACATGAAATACTGGGATACTTCTGTTCCTTTTAAAGCAGGGGTATGGTCTCAGGTACTAACTGAAGTATCTGAGAGTTGTCACCATCCCATTTTCACACCCAGATACCTGCAGGCTACACCTGCCCATTTTCCTGAAAGTTTCTTTATAATTTAAAGATTTACAACACCTTCTAGAACTGACACCGAAGAAGGATGTTCTTCTCATTCTAGGGGACTGGAATGCTAAGGTAGGGAGTCAAGAGATAAAAGGAACAACAGGGAAGTTTGGCCTTGGAGTTCAAAACGAAGCAGGGCAAAGGCTAATAGGGTTTTGTCAAGAGAACAAGCTGGTCATCACAAACACCCTTTTCCAACAACACAAGAGGCGACTCTACACATGGAAATCACCAGATGGGCAACATCGAAATCAGATTGACTATATTCTCTGCAGCCAAAGATGGAGAAGCTCTATACAGTCAGCAAAAACAAGACCTGGAGCTGATTGTGGCTCTGATCATCAGCTTCTCATAGCAAAATTCAAGCTTAAACTGAAGAGAGTAGGAAAAACCACTGGGCCACTCAGGTATAATCTAAACCAAATCCCTTACGAATACACAGTAGAAGTGAAGAACAGATTTAAAGAACTAGATTTGGTGGACAGAGTGCCTGAAGAACTTTGGATAGAGGCTGGTAACATTGTATAGGAGGCAGCAACAAAAACCATCCCAAAGAAAAGGAAATGCAAGAAAGCAAAGTGGCTGTCCAACGAGGCCTTACAAATAGCAGAAAAGAGAAGGGAAACAAAATGCAGGGGAGATAGGGAAAGTTACAGAAAACTGAATGCAGACTTCCAAAGAATAGCAAGGAGAGACAAGAGAGCCTTCTTAAATGAACAATGCAAAGAAATAGAGGAAAATAAAAAAAAAGGAAAAACTAGAGATCTGTTCAGGAAAATTGGAGATACTAGAGGAAAATTTTGTGCAAAGATGAACATGATAAAAGACAAAAATGGAAGGGACCTCACAGAAGCAGAAGACATCAAGAAGAGGTGGCAAGAATACACAGAGGAATTATATCAGAAAGATG